GTGCACACACACACACACACACATACAAACACACACGCGCGAGCGTGCACACACACACACACACACACACACACACACGCACGCACGCGCGCGCGCGCGCATGAATGAAAACATAACAAAGTCGACAGACTGAACACAGCCCCTACTCCTCCCCATACCCTGAGTAAGCCTACAAGTGTAGCATGCTTATTATTGTACTTTTCTTGCTCAGCTAGTGTGCAATTGTCAATATTAGGCCTACATTTCACTCCTTCCTGTAAAACATCTTTTTCCTTGCTACCTTGATTAATTTCTGCAATGTTACCTGTCGTCGCCATTTTTCTCCCCTCTTTTTGTCTTGATGTGTTTGTTTATTTTAGTATTGCATTAGTCGTGTAGCCTAGGCCAGTCCCATTATAATGGGCGTTGTTTTAAGCAATGTCTGGCGAAATATATTATTACCATATGCGCAGACGTGCATCCCAACTCAATCTCTCTTGAAGGGATCTTCGCTCAAGATGTCGGTGCATTTTCGTAAGTAAAAGCATTGGTAAAAGTACAGCGGCGCGCGGAAGACTATAAATTTTAATTATACTCATGCCTGTCATGTTTTTCACTTTGTCTCAGCCAGGGCAACGATTAGCCTACTAATTTTGGTGAATGCTTTTTCGATACATTATTTATGCCTGGAACGAAAAGACAAATGAAAAGAATCAAATAACTTTAATCAACGGTAAAAGCAACACAAATTTAAGTAGACCAACATTATACAACAACAACAGAATCATCTAATGAGGAAAATGAAGAGATTATTCCTATTATCTCTATACATCAAGTTACAGTAATTTTACTACCATATAGTATATACATGTAATGATATATATCACAGGTCACACGACCGGGCAAATTTGTTTTTCTATCGAGTCCCTGCTTTGTTTGCGTTTGCTCGGTGCGGGGCAGTCGTTTGAACAATAACAATGCGTATATTGCTCCCAGATTTGTCGTTTATCACAGCGTTTCGCTGTTATCCATTCAACTGCCATTTTATCTCTGTATCGTCCTAGAAAGTGATCACATTATTGTTCCAGTAAATATAGACAACATGCACCTGGTTGTGAGACAAAATAGTCAAATAGTATTTACAGATTTTCCTGGTACGGAAATTGCTTCCCATCAATGTCGTTTTAAACTGAAGTAGATCTAATATTAACAAAAAATCTGGGACTAGCTTTGAAATCGAAAGCTGCACGCACCATGGCCTGCACTACCGATGCGTCAGTGCTGTAAACAATCAATATCACCAATAAGTAGTGCATGTTTTTGCTACGTGAAATATAGATCTAGATCTAGAGCTATTATGGATCTCATTTAAAAAGTGGGAGCCAAGCTAAATACAAGCGTCGTTCAAGCTTTCCTCCAGGGATTCAGTTATTTATTAGGAAGGCAAGGTAGGTCAGGCCAGGTAGGCTCAAGTGCCTCAGTCTCAGCCGGGATACCCCTCAGCCTCAAGCAAATCTCTGTCTCTAGTTTCTAGATCTAAATCTATATAATCTTTCTAGGCCTAGATATCTAGATTACATCTATGTAGACTGTAGATCTAGGAATACAGGTAATGTGATATGATATAATGCGGTGCTCCAATGATGCTGCTGTTCTCTTTGCCTTTGCGCATTGTTTATCGGGCGGGGGGGGGGTAATCATCCAGCGTCTTTTCGGCAATTTTCGTGCACTTTATTGTCTTTGTGTTAACCGTGTTTCAATTTCAAATTCAAGCAGTAGCATAATCTTCCCTCGCCTCATGTCCAAGTCCAAGTGTGAAATTTTATCATGCGAAACTCATCGGTTCATAACTTCAAGCCACTGACCCATCATATCGTTCCATATATGCGGCATCTATCTCCAAAGGTTCTCTACTCCATGGCCATCTAAAAATAGTCTGTGGGTATCCCAGGATGGGAAGGACTTCCATAACGAGCGACCACCCCATCAAACACAATAAAGAAGAGTCCTAGACTCAACCCTAACCGTACCCCTACCCCTACCGTCTACCCCTACCCCAAGCCCTCAATTCTGCTCTGTCTCATAGTGGTCGCTCGTTACGGAAGTCCTCCCCCAGGATGTGATGACATCAAATTACTAACATTAGCAGCCAATCAGGCAGGTGCGTCGTTCTATGTTTAGCCGCATGTCATCAGTAGTGGGCACCCGGTATTGGGTAAGTATGCCTAGACGGTCTAGTATATCTAGCAGGGATGTACTTTTCCGCTTTTTTCCGGTATTTCCGGTATTATGATCCTGATCCGCTATTCCATTATTGAGGTCGAGATAGAATCTAGAGTTGGGAAAAAAACAACAACCCCACGTTATCATTTTCTTTCTATGTACACCCATTGTTTTTGTTTGTTTGTCATTTTTCTCTATGTACACCCATTGCTTATGTTTGATTGTTATTTCTCTCTTTGTACACCCTTTGGGTTTCAAATTGATATTCATATTTAGCGAGACCGTGGCGCGTGGATTTTCAGCTATTTTCAAAAAAGTTTAGTGGCATCCCTGATCTAGATCTAAGTTGTCAGTTGAAAATGATCGCACCCTCTCTGGCAAAGATCACATACTAGAACAATTTCTAGGGCGAGAAAAGGCCTGATAGCCCTTAAGATGGTGGCCAGAGCTAAGATGAGCCAGAAAATCCTTGTCATCCTCTGCCAGACACTGGTACTCTCTGTCGTAGAGTACGGGCTCAGACTCTTGACCCTATCAAAGGCGCAACTGCAACGACTCGAGGTGTTACAAAATGAAGGAACGAGGGTAATCCTGGGGTGCACACGAGATACCTCAACTGAAGCAATGAGATACTTCCTAGACTTCCCATGTGCAGACAAGAGGCACAAACTGGCACTTTCTGCGAGTCAGCGCAGACGAGACGAACCCTCTACATAAGAAAGTGGGACGACAGATGACATCAAGGCTAAAGAGGGGCACAGAATGGATGACTCAAGCTACAAACACCATCAATGAGTGGTGCCAGATACAAGATATCAGGAGAGGCATGGATTGGGTCGTGAAGGCAACATTGGGTAGAAAATGTCGCAACTGGCCACTTGGAGCTACAAACTCTGAAATTGAAACCCTGATAGAAGAGCATAGAGCGAACATGGAGATGCTGTGATCTTCATGGATGGATCAGTCCATAGAGGAGTCAAATCGGGCTGGGCCTTCAGTGTCAGAGTTAATGGGGTAGTAGTGAAAGAGCAAAGTGGAGCAACTGCACTGACAACCTCAAGTATGTGTATGGAGATAAAACCATAAGTGAGGCTCTACACTGGATCAAGAACACAAGCCATCAGCGAGCAGTAATCATTACTGCCTCTATGAACACACTACAGAAGGTAGGCCTACAGAAAGGGATGCTGTATGCGGACTGGAAGGCTACGATCAGGGAGAGCAGCCTGGATATTCTGCCCCGGCCACGCGGGGGTAACCGGCAACGAGAGAGCAGACAAGCCGGCTGGAGAAGCAAAAGTGGGGGGGAATTTGACACTGGACCCACCAACCGTCCTAACCGCCGTGATGGAAAATTTGAGGAAGAATAGGGCGGATAGCAGTTCCCACTCTCTAGGTAGATTGAAGGAGAAGGGGATCCAAAGAGGAGAGGGGAAACACAGCCATCTGTGCGGACCAGTCCGACGGATCTCCAACCAGATTATGATGAAGACTATAAGCAGACAGACTCTGGGATGGATCCTGAAGAGGGGGGGGGGGAGCAGAGATGGACATGTTCCGACTGCAATGACCCCAACACAGTGAACCAGTTGACAAGTAAATGGTCAATTAATATTATCATCATATCGGGAAGCAAGACTTTGTAGTTCAAGTCTTGCTTGTGTCACTGACGATCAAGTTAATCATCGAGCTGATTCATAAACTTCTAAGTATCTAGTTGAGTAAAAGTAAAGTTGAGAGTATCATGGTTGATTCTTGTACTGAGCATTGAGTTGGCTTTAGACTGAGTATGTCCTCACGTTTACAGTGTACTACCTACTACCTGATACTGAGAACGGAGTACTGGTACACTCACTTCACCACTATCACACTACTTCTAGCACTACACTTTGTGCTACAGAGTCCACATCTCAGACTGTTCCCGCTCCTTTCTGGCCGAGAACATTTTTGCCTAATTGTTCAGCCCCAGCGGCTTCCCGTGATAAATTGAGACGCGATAAAGTGATTCTCAAGCTCAGGCACGATCTAGAATCGAAGACTGAGACTGAGAGTATGGATGGATTCGCCTGGTTAAGTTTAGGTTAGAGAAATTTATAGAAAGAAGAATCTAAAATATATATATATATATTATTTTACACATTCACCCAAGCAAGTGTTAGTGTTAGAGCTAACCTTAAATAGCCTAACTTCAGTTGTTAATAAAGGGGATGGGGTGGAGGGGTAGTGGTGAGCGAGTGCAAGTTCTGTAATCTATACTTTATACTATCTAAACACTTTGTATAAAAATAGAATAATAGAAATGATCACTTATTATTGCTCTTTTAATTACTCACCTTGATGTCGTGTTGATTATAATTCCAGGTACAGGAGGGGCATTTTAACCTCATCTGTTGGATGTGAACACAATGACGTTGTCAATATTTGGCACAGACTATGGTAAGTGGATATATAAATCTGCTTTACATTTAATTGTAATTTAGATAAATTTTATACAGTCAGACTTGTCCAAGATGGAATCGCAAGGGAGCCAGAAAAAAAATTCTGTCTTAAGACAGGTGACTTGACGAAGGGGGGTCCCAAGGGCCAGTCGTACGCAAGGGTTTCAAAGGTTGCCTTTCTGTTGACAGTCAGTGGTCGAAACTTCACATTTCATTTGCAAAGTGCTATCCCAGCCGCTCTAATTATAGCATACATACATCGGTCTTACTTATATCCATTGCCACCATGTTTGCATCTCTTTAGGATCACTGTTTGACCAATTAAAAACAAAAACAATAGAACATCTCCTTTCTTTGCGTCCTTAGCCCCATCCATCGATGTAATAATCACAGTCAACCCCTCCCCGTGCATGTAACAATGATTCATGGAACATTTTTATTGGCTGACCTTGCGATCAGGGCAGAAGGCAGTGGTCAAATTTCACGCCTCTGGCTACTCAAGGTAGTTTCCGTGCCGGCGTTTCACTCGAGCACTTTGACCTTGAAGATAAGCAGCAGTGAAATTTCACTCCCATACCGGGCTGAATATCTGCAGCACTCAGGGCTCATTAGGTTGGGTGACAGCTACCCCCATACTGCACCCATAACCCTTGTGGAGTGGGGTACAGTTTTCCGGGTTGTGAAGGTCTCCGTCTTGACAGAAGTATTATCTGAGGAATTTGTCAAGGGGAGAGTAGAGAGATTCTGTCATAGTCATTACAGGTTTTGTTTTCATTGTAGCTGGGGGGGGGGGGGGGGGGGCATTATTTTCTAGTCCAAAATATGTTTTAATAAATTTAATCTTGTGCTGTTTAGGTGGTATCAGTATGTTAAATTATGAATCAAGAATATGTCATTGTTGCTTTACCTCCTTGTTTTGAGGGGCGGGGGTGTCTTGAATTTCATTCCTAGTTTTTAAGGTCTTTTAGGTGCGTGAACTTACTTTAAATATCAGTTTTACACATTTTAAAAAATTATTTTGTTGCTGTTATCATTCATAATAATATTGGAGGTAGATTTCTGTGCTCCTGAACTGAAAAACATTGGGGTTTTATATTCTGAAACTTAATTGTTCACACTTTATTTATTGAAGCATGTTTTCTCAGCCTCTTTTGTGTCTGATTAAATCCCCCCCAATATAAAAGGACACTTGTTTATTTTCCAGAAATTGTCTCCCATGGCTGGGAAGCAAAACAAAACGTCAAGGGTGTTGTCTACTATGTAAAGTAAGTATGATTTTCCTGCATATATTATTACACATCGTACGTGGTCATGTGGGGAAGCCAAGGATAGTTAGTCTGGTCTAAGTTGGCGTAATAGGTAAAAAAATTTACTTTTGAGTCACTCATTAAAAATGATCAAGCAAGGCAAATCTTTTCCAATATCTTGTCGTCTCTTACAAATCTAAAAGGCTTTCAAATGAAAAAGAATGTCTGTGTATCAGATAATCTGTTGATAATTCTCTACCCTATTCTCTCTCTCTTCTAATGTAATACTGTGTTAGATACTCACTCTTGAACCCATTCCCTTTCCACTCTACAATCAACTGGAATTGTAACTGTTTGGGTATGTGTAATTCATACTGTTGGAAAGGGGAAAAAGTGGACAGAGGAAAGAGTTTTGGAAAAAGAAAGTAGGCAGGATGAAATTTTTAAAGTGCATTATTAACGACTGCTCAGTTTAAGACTCTGTCATAGATCACTTTTCAAAATGGTTTATGATATATATAATATGCTGTCAATTTAATTTATCATGGTTGTTTTTTTTACAGTTTAGAAAGGTCTTGACAATATGATACATCTTTTCTCTTACTGTTCGGTCATTAAAGATTCGTCACAGTAAAACATGTATTGGAAATGTGTTAAACCTGGATAATCAGAATGAGAAAATGCCATTTTTCTGCGATGCCACACAAATTGCTCAGACCGTCTTTATTGTTTTTTAAAATTATGTTTGTGTGCCAAGTAGCTTCATTATTATTTCATGAGCCCTGCAAAATAATTTTCAGTGTTATTGAGTTTTGGTTTTCATCTTTTTTTTTCAAAGGTATTCTTCATGAGAAACTATTAATTATGTCATGTAGTGCTTAAACATAGAAAGGGAGGAGACTGTAATAATATATTCAGTCTTTTGTTCCCTGTCATGTCTTTTTCTGTACTTGCTTTTTAACTAAAGATTAACGATGGTGTGTTTTGACATGTCTTTTTCTGTACTTGCTTTTTAACTAAAGATTAACGATGGTGTGTTTTGACATGTCTTTTTCTGTACTTGCTTTTTAACTAAAGATTAACGATGGTGTGTTTTGTCCTATTATTTATGTGTTCTAATGCTGCTGCTAACTGTGCTGTCTTTGCCAGTGTTGCAATATTTTCCTTTGGGTCTTATGTCTCTTCTAAAATCTTACATGTGCAGTTGCTCCATCATGAGAAGTTGTGAACATTTTTTACAGGGACGGGGCCAGTAGATCATTTTATCTTATATTGTGTTGATTTATTTTTTATTTTGCAAAATTTCAGTTCCGCCTTACAGATTACAAGTTGGAATCACCCATTTCTGGACAAAGTGCTCAAAGAACTCGGTATGCTCTTTTGATTTGAGATTTGCTCACTCACACTGTTTCATTTTTCCCCCCATTGAAGGGAAATCTGTTGTAGTCTACGTAGATTGTTTGGGTTGTAGGTTCCACAGATTGCTGACTCACACTGTTTCATTTTTCCCCATTGAAGGGAAATCTGTTGTAGTCTACGAAGATTGTTTGGGTTCTAGATTCCACAGATTGTAGGTTTGAGATTCAGTTGCCAAAGATAGAGTTTTCGCCTACCACAGGAAAATGATCTTTGCTTTATAAGTTGGAAATACTGTGTTTGATAGAAGTCAGTCATGTGTCAGTTTGACTTTTAAAGATAAGTTTTGGTGTGAACAGCACCGAAGTGAAATCGTGTGAAGTAAAAAAATCAACATTGAAAAGAGGCTATCAGTAAACTGAACATCATTCACTTGCATTTTTGAAAGATTCTGTTCTTTTCCTTTCGTTTTATTTAGATGAGTATGGTGACGTGAAATATGCAGCATACCGCACGGCCATGAAGCTACGCATTCTGCAAACTCATCTTGGCTGTAAGTATTTTAAATTGTTTTTATTTTCTAACTAATAGGAAATAAAGGCTCATGTCTTTCTACATCATGCACTATTGTTATTAAGAAGTTTTTTTAATGATGTGCCTCCCTTTTTTGCAATATGAAAATGATACCTACTTTTCCTCTACTATATTTGCTCTATTGTACCTGTGACTATTTGAGCTTGAGATAACATGTCCGTAGGATTCATTCAATTTCTTTGAATTACCACGTGGAAGGGACTGATTTTCTTATTTGATTAATTATTAATGGTTAAGAAATGTAGACAAGTTTTTGTAATCACAGCCCTGATATAATCTAGATTCATTGCTGCTACCAGAAACTCAGTCACCACTCTTTTTCTTGAGCCCCAGCCGTGTTCTCAGCGGTGTGTTGTGCCATTGTCTTTGTGTGCTTGTCTGTCACTGTGTTTAAAGTTTTCCATTTTCTCCTCTTTTGTGGACGGCCACTGTAAAAGGCTGCTGTGGCTTTCAGATATATTCATTGATGCCTTTTTTTTTTCAAGTTCAATAACTGCTTTTACACTGAATTGAAGTGAAATAACTACAGGTATATTAAATGAGGAGTCTGTAGACAGGTATATTAAATGAGGAGTCTGTTGACAGGTATATTAAATGAGGAGTCTGTAGACAGGTATATTAAATGAGGAGTCTGTAGACAGGTATATTAAATGAGGAGTCTGTAGACAGGTATATTAAATAAGGAGTCTGTAGACAGGTATATTAAATAAGGAGTCTGTAGACAGGTATATTAAATAAGGAGTCTGTAGACAGGTATATTAAATGAGGAGTCTGTAGACAGGTATATTAAATGAGGAGTCTGTAGACAGGTATATTAAATGAGGAGTCTGTATGGAAAAAAGGCAAAGTCCCAAAATGAATAAATTATTTTCATTTGACTTCCCGTACTACGGACAAAAACAATAAACGTGGGTGGTTGGCGGATGCTCTGGTGTGGTTTGCTGCTTCTTCTTTCCTATCAGACATCTATCGTCCTTATCTCCCCTCCTTCTTTTTTATGTTTGTTACTCTCGTGTAACACCTCTAATCTTCTGGCGCTCGTATGACCTTATGCAGTTGCCAGCGCCGAAAAATCTTTACTAAAACAATAAACAAGCGGTTTCACAGAAGTGAATTTATGAGTCGACAAGGCTTTTGAAATGAATAGCCCCGCGATTTCCTTTTTGTGATATTTTGTCCGTTTTGTCCATGGAATTCACAAATACTTTCTTTTACCAGTATCTTGGATTACGATAGAGGGGATGAAACACGTGTTCCCTCTCTCATTCGTGGAAGAAGATGATCTGACTATGACTGTCAACTGTGGAGAAGCTTCTGGTCTGTTGTATCGCCTACTGGAATTCTCAGACAAAAGACATCAGCATACAGCAGACTACGAACGTGCGACTGACCTTGTTCTCAATTTCCTTCTCAATCTTTATGATACGTAAGTATATGGTTATTCAGTGTTGTTGAGAGAGTTTGGTTTTTTTTTTTGTATTGTTACCAAAGTTTGGAAGTGAACTACCTGTACTTTAGTTGATGACGGTAGGTTTTTGTGCTTTTTTCAAGTGTCACCATTTTCAGTTATCTACCTGTATTACCTGTCCTGGGCAACAACGTCATTGCACACCGGACAGGTCCAGAAGTGCTCAGTTCCCCCCAGCACCAAAGCCCGCAAGGTATCCATACTGATTGTTCCGGTGGCTGTCTGATTATGGCGACGTCTTTTCTTTCCAGACAATCGTTCCTTTCTTCCTTCTCCCCTCTCTATCCCCATTTCCCGCATCCTAATGATTGCGCGGTGTTCTGCTGTCTCCCCGTCTTCTTCATCCCGCAACTTTTCCTCCAGGGTCTTCAACACTTCTCCTTTGTCAAATTTCACCTCACCATCAACCACGGCACTGCCTGCCAGCCTGTCAGCCTCCTCATTGTCCTTCACCCCAGAGTGCACAGGACAGAGTATCCACGTGATGGCTCTAAGTGATGAGTGTTGTATTGGGTTCATCCATTCACTCCGAAGAAGCCCTTTCTCAACCCTTCGCAAGATGCTCTGGGAGTCCGTGAATTTTCAGTTATCTAATTTCCTTGAATGTAGCTCCTTCATTGTTTACTTACGTTGCATGATGGTTTGATGGAATGATATTAAGCTTCATTATCGCATCTTGTTTTATAAGCCTAGCTCCCAATTTGTTATTGAGGGACAGAGAGTTGTACTTGAAATACTCCTAGATTTCCATTATTACTCAAGGTGAGAATATATTTTACTTAATCAGTGAAATGGGGTTACTCGTGACGAAATAATTTCTTATCAGATATTTTTGCATTGTTTGTATCCACTTGCAGCAATCGCAGTGGGAAACTGGTGCTGAGGTCCATGAGGAACGCTCTCACAGCTCTGTGCCCTTCCAAGCTTTGTGACAAGTACAGATGTAAGTGTAGGAAAATTTAACTTTTACAAAAATTTTAGGGGGTGTCAAATTTCACCTTTGTAAGTATTCCAGTCAACATTCATGGCTGTAAGCATACCCATGATTCTATATTTCTGTAGCTTGGTGTACCCGGTTTTCTCTGTGTGTGGGTGGTTGGCGGGTGCTCTGGTGTGGTTTGCTCCTTCTTTCCTCTTAAGCATCTATCGTCCTTATCTCTCCTCCTTCTTTTTTACGTTTCTTGTTACTCTCTTGTAACACCTCTAATCTTTGACACTTATATGACCTTATTGTGTTTGTTACTCTCTTGTAACACCTCTAATCTTCGGCACTTATATGACCTTATTGTGTTTGTTACTCTCTTGTAACACCTCTAATCTTTGACACTTATATGACCTTATTGTGTTGCAAGTGCCGTAAAACTCTTTATTAAACTAAACTAAACTTTCTCTGTGTATTGTAAGAAGTCCCGAGGTTGTGTGAGCACTGTTGGTATACGTACCATTTCTGATCAAAAATTTGTTTTCTTAATAATGAATGTTTCAAATTGTATACATGAGGCAATTAATGATAGAAACACAATATTCATCAATTATACTTTTTTTTTTTTAGTCTTCTTGAATGGAGTAAATTGTTTTGTTTTTTAAAAATCATAAACATGTGTTGCCATTTTGCTATTGCTACTGAATTTGTCACAAAGGCTGTTCAAACTTCAGCTAAAAGACACATTTACATTTTTGTGTTCCAGATTTTTTCGCAGGCCTGAGGGATGGCAGTGGCAGAATTTCTCGTGAAAAATTTCTTTATTTCATTGATGATTTAATGCAGGTAGTTTATTTTTTCATGATTTATTACTCTTCATTAAAATTCACACTCGCTTACATTTCACGGGTTTTATAAATGTGCATTTTGTTCATAATACAAGCATAACGATTCTTTTTTTTAAAACTTTCTTTTGTCTTTTTTTTTTTTTTGGTGATCTTGTTTTTATTAATTTGTGTTTGAATTAACAGGGTTTACATGTGTGGGACAATACATCCTCAACATAAGTGTAATATACATGTACTATCTTTTTGTTAAAGAAAATTTAGATACAAGATCTCATTTCTATAGTCAGTGCAGCATCAGCATGTCCCAAGCATTATCTGCGTCTTGTGGAACTGTAATGAATCATGAGTGAATAGTATTTGAATTCGTGTAAATTTTCTTTTGTGATTTCAAATTTTAATAAATAGTTTTTTTTCCTTTTTTTTTGTCTAATTGTGAAGATAACAGATACAATAAAGGAAAGCACTGCCTTTGGGCGGAATCTTACTGCTGCTGTCGACAGCTGTTTCAAATTGGTGAGTACAGATTATGTTGTTAGAAAGAAAATGTTTTGTCTTAAATTTCGTCTACGGGGTGGAAAGGGCATTTTGTTCATACAACTGAAGAGATTATCATTTTGAGGGGTGTTTTTTTCCCCTGTTTTTACCAGTGTTCTGTGTCTGGGTAATCTTTTGCAGAAAAGGAGTCGCATATCATCACATTTTTGCAACCATGTGTCTTTTTTTTTATGATTCTGAGTATTTGTCGCTAGACCTTGAAATCTGCAGATGAAATGACCTTGGTGATTATTCTGAATGTGTTGCGTTTGAAAAATGTATACTCTGTCTTTTTTTTTTTTGTTGGTCTTTCAAAATGTTATAATGTAATGCAAATTTTAATATACTTTCAGTATTTAAAAATTATCTCTATTTATAAACAAAAAGTGTCAAATAACTCTTTAATATATGTACATTCGACCAATGCAAGACATACGAGGTACTAAAATTTTGTACTTTTTAAAAGAAATGTTAAAGCACACATGTTTTTTTCCCCCCATCCACATATATATATGTGTGTCATGACGCTGTGGAATTGGACACTCATCAATTTTTGGGCATGTGGAGCTATTGGTATCATCATAAAGCTTGTTCTTTTGTCTTGATTTAGGGGAAAATAATTCCCAGCTATCTTGAATAGAAGTTGAGATATTTACGATTGAAGGATGTGGGGCTCGCCTGTTGTCAGAGGTAAAATTAGTAAGCGAATGACCACCAAAGTTTGGTAACTTCAACAGCTTGAGAGTCCTTGAAAACTGAAAAGTGACATATTTTATGCCTTTAAACAACGTTTTTTGGTAACATTCACTTGAAAATGTGTTTTTATATTTAGTTCTACATAAAAGATGCTAAGCCGAAAAAACAAAATTCTATAAAAATTGCCCAACGTGCAGAAAAATTCTGTTTTCTTTAATTTCGTTATTTTGACGAGCGTCTGATTTCACCATGCTGCCTCACAATGTCTTCTTTTTTTTTTTAACTTTATTTGGTTGTAGAATTGACTGTGATCTAGACAATATGCAGGGGCTCTTGTGGCCTAGAGGTTAAGATGTTGGCCTCTCATTCAAAAGGTCCTGGGTTCGAATGCGGGTAGCGACCGAAAAATTTTCTTCTCTAAAATTGTCTCCTTTCACATTCTTTCCTGCTCTCTAGCAATGTTCTGTTGTCTGCTTTCATTTCCACTTTCTGCCCCCACCCCCTCACCTCCTTTGCCCCCTCCTCTGGGCTCCTGACTCTTTCTGCAGCCTTTCTACTGCTACTCATTGGCTCCTCCTAACTGCTGTCTTTCTGCCACACCCCAGATCTTCTGGTAGGAAAGATCTACACCTAGCCTTCTCGGACAAGGGCGAAAAATCTCGGAGGGCCCGTGTGCAAGTTGCGCACGTTAAAGATCCCTTGGTGGTCTAAAATCGATAAGAGTAGGCTTCGGCCGCCACCCGGGCAAAATTCAAAATTTCCTACCAACTGAAAATATTAGGTGTGTCCATATGACCTTATGCAGTTGCGAGCGCCGTAAAACACTTTACAAAAACAAAACAAGACAATATGCATCTGTATTTGTTTTGATCCCATTGCAGGAGACCAGCTCCTCCCCCCTCACTGTGAGTGAGGACACATTTTATTCTTGGCTGCTGAAGGAACCGCAGACTCTGGTCTGGCTACCAACTCTTCACCGAGTCATAGCCACAGAATCAAGTATGATGCTTTCTTCTTGAACCCTATTTATGTTTATGGGTTGACATAATTTATCTGCAGGGGTAGACGTACTAAAACTGATTTTAAAATGTTGAAGCAAGAAAATGTTTGCTCAAAATTCATGAAAGAGATTCAGCGACCTTTAGAAAATCCAAGTGAATATTTAAAGACTTTTTCAGCATAAAGTGGTGCTTCAAAAAGAAAGAATTGTTTTCATAGTGCTACAAAGTGTATTGCTCGTCTTTGTACCAGGAGCTTTTTATAAATGTTTTTGCTTTTGTTGTGATTTCAGTTCAACACGAAGTCAGATGTGCCGCTTGCAGAAGTATGCCTATCACTGGTTTCAGGTATATAGTCACATTTGAGCTAAAAGACATCCTCCCGTTTCTTCTTTTTCACTTTGAATTCTGTTATTGTTGGGGGGTTTTTCATGTCCTGTTCATTATATGACTTGCCATTAATTTTTTTTCTTGAGTACTTGAATGTAGAACTGGGGTCTCAGGAAGATGGGGTGCTCCATGCTTCCTGGCCCCTCTTCATAAGAGTCCATTTCTGTGTGGGCAGGCTGATTGTCTCCATCATCAGCTGGTTGTTGTAGTGTGTGATTGTCTCCATCATCAGCTGGTTGTTGTAGTGTGTGATTGTCTCCATCATCAGCTGGTTGCTGTAGTGTGTGATTGTCTCCATCATCAGCTGGTTGTTGTAGTGTGTGATTGTCTCCATCATCAGCTGGTTGTTGTAGTGTGTGATTGTCTCCATCATCAGCTGGTTGTTGTAGTGTGTGATTGTCTCCATCATCAGCTGGTTGTTGTAGTGTGTGATTGTCTCTATCATCAGCTGGTTGTTGTAGTGTGTGATTGTCTCTATCATCAGCTGGTTGTTGTAGTGTGTGATTGTCTCTATCATCAGCTGGTTGTTGTAGTGTGTGATTGTCTCTATCATCAGCTGGTTGTTGTAGTGTGTGATTGTCTCTATCATCAGCTGGTTGTTGTAGTGTGTGATTGTCTCCATCATCAGCTGGTTGTTGTAGCGTCTGATTAGGTCACGCAGGCTGCTCCTCCACCTTCTTGTTCTCTTGTTAAAGCCTTATGGTGGACCAAATAATTATAAAATTACAATTTCTCATCGTATATTACTTCATATGAGGGATTCATTATTCCAATTCCTAGTTGTATGGGACCAAACTTGTTAGCTATGCAAGTTTGTAATTTGTAATCTAAGAAGCTAATATCTTACCCATGTTTTCAGGGGAATAGTGAATCTAAAATGTAAGGAATAAGCATTGTTTCGAACTTGATTCACCATACTTACGTAGAGGCTAATTAAGTATCTTGTTTAGTTAAGCGTTAAATTGATGGAACAACTATTGCTTTTGTTTGAGGTGTGGTAACATTGACATTTGTTCTCTTTGCTGTCACTAAATCTAGTTGTAGAAGCTCTTGACAATGTATCGGTATTTTATCCTGTTGAGTAGTTTCTCACAATGAGAGGCCTTCAAGGACTGTGTCTCTCATTCCTAATAAGAGACAATACCTTTCATATTGTTTGTCTTTATGGATGCAGGTTTTTTGTCACAGCTTTTAAAATATCCATCTTGAAATTATATCGATTCTATCTCGTTAGAAAGGAAATAGGTATTAGAGATGGCTGTGAAATGCTGATTTGCAATAGGAATAGTTAAACTTTGCGTCTTAAAGTATTTCGGTGGTGAACATGATTGTAACATATTTTTGGCTCGATCGAAGTCAAGCAGTTCCTTACATTGGTAAGATTTAATTTTTTCTCACTCCTCCAGGTATCGCTGCTTACAGTGTCTCAGATATGACTTGTGCCAAAAGTGTTTCCTGCTAGGCCGCACCTCACTCTCTCACAAACTGAAACATCCGATGCAAGAGTACTGCTTTCCTGTAAGTGACCCACGCAAAGTTTGTTATTCTCAGCTCACATTTGGAAAAGATACATCTAAAATGAAACACCCACAGAAAACATTGTGATTTTTATCATGTAGTCTAAGATGTACATTGTATTTTATGTTGTAAATCTTCTTAAAGACAAAGAGAAATATGAGATGAATACATAAGGAGAAAAAGTTAGATTTTTGTTGATAAATGAGGTGTTTAAAAATATTATGTCACCTTGAAGTCACTCACAAATCAAACATGCATACGTGTAGATGAGCTATAAACTAAAGGAATTTTTTTGCAGATGAAGGTGACAAGAACTTAAAATCATTTGTACAAGATAAAGTATTTTGTGTACACTTAACTGGGATATGCATCAACCCTCAGAGCAAGTTTGGAATACAGGCAAATTTTCAAGCTGTTCTCTTTAAGCAGCAGATTGTTCAATCATTGTTATTTTCTGCAGACAACTGCTAAAGAAGATGCTAAGGCTGTCTTGAAAATTGTGCGGAATAAACTGAGCAAGAAGCACAGAAGTCGGACCAAAGTGACCTACTTACCAGTGGATGGCTCGGGAGACCACCAAGCCTTTGCAGTCGATTGGTACAATTTTCCAACATTTTTGTCTCACTCAAACACTCTTTTGTTTTAACTTGAGCTTTTGGCATGCTTTCTTTGTCAATAGAAAGTTCATGTGGTTTTCTCTACAACTGTTTTTACTAGACTAAAACTTTGCCTAGGTTTTTAAAAAAATATTATACTTTTGGCATATTAACTAACCTTTAGTAATGTACAGAGATAATGCTTTGACGTTTTGGTTCTTGTGGTTTTTGACTGTTTATTATATTCTACTATACCTCCGTCAGATTCTTAGGTCAGTCCTTTTGTACGGGAAAGTGTTAAAATTAAAGTTGGTCTAAATTTCAATCAAGTGACAGGCTCTTTCTAACCATTTATGCGAGTTCTAAAATTTGTTGATGTGCAATTTTCTTTGATGATAAGTTGGTGCTGATTGTCTATATTGATACTAATACTATTACTATACATTTTCTGAGGTTGCCACTCTTCATAATGTCAGCTTTGTTCATTTTTCATGTTGCAACAATTGCTTTGTTGGCAGAGGAAAGAATTTTTATAATTTCTCAATCTTGCAAATGCTGGATGTGATGGTTATCGTTGTTACTGGTTGTAAGCGTGGACTTACTAATATGTTGTATTTGAACTGGTTATGAGATGAGAAATCTTACAGTTGTTTGTTGTGATCCTTGTCTGGTTTTGCATGTCTCATTGTGACTTGTTGCCCATTTGTGTACTATCAGGCAACCAAGAGGTCTTGGGACTTACGCTGGAGCGCCTCATACCCGCTCCACAGACTCAGGCCTGGCTGGCAGTTCGGACTACGGAGATTCTTTGTGCGGTGATGGACTTCGGGTCAGTCGACCTGTCGAGGTGTTGGGAGAACCGTGCCAGTCTAGCAGTCCGTTTTTCAAGTACAGAGCAGTGAGTGGGGCTTCAAAATCATTTGACTCTATTATGCTTCTGCTTTTGAGGTTAAAAAAACAAACTAAGATGAACATTTGTTTATCACTGGACTTTGTTAGCCCTAAGCACTGGATCGTTGAAAGTTTTTGTATATCTGTTTTGATGTAGTTACTCTTTTTATCATCCTCCCTCTTACCTTTCTCTAACTCAAACGTTTTTTTCATGTTAATCATGTCTGTTCTAGCTTTGCACTTTGTCATATTGTCTTGTTGATCTATTGATATTTGCTGCATTGGCAGTGCTCAGTAATAGTTTGTTCCACGTTTATCTTCAACTTGGCGTTAAGCAGAAGAGCTGCATACCGGTAATTAGTGTCGGTGATAACCACTTCAAAGAACAGCAAACCCATTTTTGTCACAGCTTGAGATTCCCATTGATGGATTTTCAAAATTGTGCTTAAGATGTTTTCTACATTCTGAAAGACGACCAGTGCCATCGCTCATGTTTCTTTATACGATTTTTGTCAGAGCCAGAGATGTTACAATTTATAGATATCGTACAAAAGTGAAAAACTTAAAAAGTTGAAATGGATGTAGTAGATGCTGATTACCGAAATCTGTGTGTAAAACTTTTGTAGAAATGGTCTTTGAGATACAGCCTGACATCAGCATAAAACTCACTTCTCAATCAATAGTTTTTGTCAACCTTTTCCTTGTGGTCTGTGACTTTTGTTGTTGTTTTGTTTGCTCCTCTTCATCATGCACTTTGGATAGGTGAATGTTTCATCTACCGTCTCTGTGATGTGCTTCAGATTTCTTGAGCGGGACAGATTATATTGACTTTGTGTCTGAGAACCACATTCGTTACATCTCTTTTTATTTTGTTTCCACTTTTCCCCCCTACAACCTTCCCACACTGTTCTGCATTTCACGGGAATTGAGTTTGCTAGAAAATTTTATTTTATGGTCTTAGTAGTCGTTCCCTGCTTACTGTTTCCATTATTCATTCTTTTTCTTTCAATTAAAACACCAAAAGACAGGAAATGAAGAGCTTTCAAAGAGGGATATACAAACCCAGCAGAAACTAATGGCCTTGACGATTGAGCAGCTGAGACAAGAAAACTGGTAACTTTATTTCTCATCTCAAATGTGGTTTGTCTTTGAAGTGTGTCTTTAGATTACCATATCACGACCTCAGTGACCTCAGTGCTTTCTTGTCGTATCTCCATTTTTTTAAACAATGAAAATGTGACATCTTTTTAATTCACTCTTTTTTATGAACTATTTCGAATGGAAATGCGACAAGGAAGCACCAAGGTCGCAATTTTCTATAAAAACTGATAACATGAACTGAAGGGAACCAGAGAATTTCTTTGTGCTAAGCAGATTTTGTGTTAAGGAAAGTTGCAATGGATAGAATAAAGGGGGAGCAATAAAGACAACAGGGCTTTGGAATCCTTTCATGGTATCTGAAATTTGTATTAATCTTTTATCCTGGCCATACCCCCACGGACTCTGTACCCGTCCTGGGGCCACCGCACCGTATGAGTTGGAATTGAGTGTGTATTTCAAAGTGCTATATTTCTTACATTTACTCGTAGGTTTTAAGGAAATTTGGCAGTTATGTTAGAAATTGAATGTAGTTTTTGTAAATAAATGTATGTGGTTAGGAATTACACGAATGGCACCGTGTAGATTTTGAGGTGTAGGCTATTCCACCTTCCATCTTGACCCTGACTGCCGCACCCACGACGTCCCTTGAATTTATAGGTCTAGCCCTACCCATCGGTACTGCACGAATTCCTGCACTGACCCCTTCACCATGATCGGAATGGCTATTACATGAGAGTAATTCCTGTTTGTTGTCATCCATAACGGAATTTACGGCACTTGATTCAGAGTCACTTTCATCAAATTAGTCTCATTCCCCCTCACATATCAGTGCCACTTAAAAAAGTACTTGGTCGGTCGTAAACGTACGTTTTCGAGACATCTTTCAAGCTTCTACACCCATCAAAAACAAAGAAACGGCTGTGAATTAGAAAATTTAAATATTCAGACAGAGCTAGCATCGCCGTATTTGCATATTTTGGTAATTACAAGCAGAGCTAGCTTCTTTGACGTTACCGTATAGCTGTTCTGAGTTTACTCGTAGCCCGGACTGGTCCTCGTTACGACTCATAACCCGGATAGAGAGAGTTAAATAGCTCTGTGTGAAATAAAGTCCAGGGTATACGGTTTTTATCAGGGGGAGATTATGTAGGAATGTAAAGCAACTGTTTGTGATTTTTCAACTGTGTTTACTTCCCTCTATATGTGTGTATATATGTATGAATAAAGCTAGTAGATGATATCAGTGTGTCATTTTTTTAAAAAGTTTTTATGTGGATATTCCCCAGAAAGATCTTGTCAGTTGTTCATAATAGTTTTTTCTACTACAATGCAAGTTATTTTATTTATGTATGTGGCCTATTTTGTTCACTCAGGTCTTGCGTAGTGTCCCTTTCCCTCCTTTGATAAGGGGGATGTGCAAGACTTTAAAATTGTCTCTTTGTCTGTAGTGACATTATCATTCTTGTCACTGAGTGTTTTAACTGGTGCTTGTCTACAGGAGAGGACACTCCGTGAACAAAGAAGTAGAAAGGGCATTTTATTATTTTATTTTTCTCTGTCGTGACCAGGCCGTCATTTACATCTTGCCCTTTTTATACAATGGTGAGGGAGAGAATAATGGGAGAAAATGTGTTTTTAAGGAGAATTGTATCTGTCTAAACCGGAAATGAAGAACTGAATGATAAGCTTACAGTCCAAAAAATCAACTCCTCTTTGCGCCCAGGAGATGTGTCAGCCATTATGCAAAATAAAGGAAGGACAAATGTTTGTTTCATATCATACTTTCTGATTTTTGTCATGCATTTTATTGTACAGGCTTACATTGGTTGGGTATGCATGTCTGTTTGTTTCTTACCATTCATCCATGTCTTTTCTTTTTTCTTTTTCAGTCTACTTCAGACAAAGCTTCGAGATTTAGAAAGAGGCTTTTCGACTGACTCCTCAGAAGAGGAACAGGTATGGTGAAAGAAAAGCCAAAATTGACATTCATTTTTGTAGAAGAAATTGACAATTTGCTTTCATAAGCTTGTGTGACATGAAATACGTGTCAGCACACATATGAAACGTGTCAGCACACATATGAAACGTGTCAGCACACATATGAAACGTGTCAGCACACATATGAAACGTAAACGTGCCAGCACACATATGAAACGTGTCAGCACACATATGAAACGTAAACGTGCCAGCACACATATGAAACGTGTCAGCACACATATGAAATGTGTCAGCACACATATGAAATGTGTCAGCACACATATGAAACGTGGCAGCACACATATGAAATGTGTCAGCACACATATGAAACGTGCCAGCACACATATGAAACGTGTCAGCACACATATGAAATGTGTCAGCACGCATATGAAACGTGGCAGCACACATATGAAACGTGGCAGCACACATATGAAACGTCATATGAAACGTGGCAGCACACATATGAAACGTGGCAGCACACATATGAAACGTCATATGAAACGTGGCAGCACACATATGAAACGTGGCAGCACACATATGAAACGTATATTAATATTATTTTCCCCTCCCTTCTCTCTCTCTCTCTCTCCTCTCTCTCTCTCTCTCTCTGTTTGTCTTTCCGACCTCTGTATCTACTTCCTCTGTCTCACTTTCTCTCTGCCTCCCTCCCTCCCTCCCTCCCTCTCTCTCTCTCTCTCTCTCTCTCTCTCTCTCTCTCTCTCTCTCTCTCTCTGTGTGTGTGTGTGTGTCTTTCCGACCTCTGTATCTACTTCCTCTTTCTCATTTTCTCTCTGCCTCTCTCTCAGCATTTTCTAAGATGCTATCATATATGCGCACGAGGACATGAATAACCTAGTCAAGATGCATGTGGGTTGTTTTTTCTGTGCTGCTCTCAGGTGATAACCCCTTAACTGTATTGTCGACAGCAGTCTTGGGCCCTTCTTAGGATTACATAATAAGCATAGCATTAGAGGGGTTAATAGCTAAGGGTCATGGTACAGTCCATGATGTTTTTCTCTTTCAGGATCTACCTACTGGTTCCCCCATCAGCCCCATCAACGAGACACGTAAGACTTCTGCTGCCACTTCTGGACTGAGTGTTGTCGGCAGTTCTGCTGATGTAGCAGCCCCTGAGACAACTCTCAACATCGTTGGGATTTACACCCCAGTCGTTTCTTCCTTACCTCCCCCTGATATGGCAGAAGGAAATATGACAGGGGAGTCTGTTGCGGAAAATAAGACAGGGTATACGACAGAGACGTCGGACGACCTTGGCCTGGCCTACACGATGAGTGACATGACGCTCTCCTCAAAAGTCGCAGATCCAGGAGTGACGCAGGAATCTTTACGAAAATCTGGAAACTCTTTGGGTGACCTCTCCAGCTCAGGTGTTGCCGATGGATTAGGTTACCGTTCGGGTGACATGTCGCTGTATATTTCTGAACCTTGCGTTGCGTCTTTGATGAGACCAGAGACGAATGACCAAGGAATGTCTAAATCATTTCTTCAAACTAAAAGCGAGGACAGTTTTGACTGTCCTGAGATGCAGGGTGGCAAGTCAGAGGACAATGATAAAATAAGGAAATTCACAGATTTGGAAATCCTTTCTCCAGTTAAAAAAGAAGGCAACAGGAACTCGCCCAAGAGCCGGGATACTTCGATTAGTCTGAGCCCCTCCAGAGACTGTGACTTAAGTGACATCGAATCTGATCTGGAATCTAATCTTGAACAAACACCATGGACAAGTAGAACGCCTGATATTTTCAATGATTTTGATAAGAAAATGCAATCTTCAGCAGCATTCCCAAGCCAGGATGTTACTGGGAAGGCTGACAGCCCCGCACCAGGGGTCTCAAATCTCAAACCCGAGACTTCTGTGAGAAGTTCGATGGCTCCCGTTCATATGTCCACTCCTGTCTGTGACACAGCTAAGAGAAGTGCGGCAGCCAGGGCCTCTGGCGTCAAACTCCCGAAATCTCACAATAGGGGAGAAGACAAAGAAAACCAGGGCACAGACGTTGGCTCGGGGACTAAAAAGATGAGATTGGATGACAAGGCAGGTGTGTTGCCCACTGCTGCGACTCCTCTGTCTGCCATTCCTGTGGGGCACAGAAGAAAAATCCTAGCTTCCAGCCGTTTGGCTACTCCCAATTTCAGCCAAAGCTGTCAGAATCTGACTCATCACAGCGCGGGTGGCTTGTCGGCCATGTTTACCGAGGCAGAACTGAAAGCTTGTGACACCGGTGGGGACACAATGGTGACGGTGGACAAGGAGGAGATGGAGAAGATGCTGAGAGAGTTCCAGAAGGATGGGAGTCCGTGGAACGGCACCGATGGTGAGACTTTTTTTTTGTCTGCTGCCTAGGAATGCGTGTTTTGAATGGGATTTTTCTTAAAGTAATATATTCTGTGTCGAGTTTTGCATTTTTCTTAACACATTTTGTACCTCACACCTGTGTGGAGTTTTGAACTTTTTGTACCACATTTTGTATCTGGCATGGGGATTCCCAGTTCTCACGACATGGGGAAATCTCCATGCATGATATGAAATATGTTAAATAAATGCTGAAAATTCTGCACTGTTGTGCTCATCAGTTCTAAACGGTTACGATTTGTAGAAAAATTTTAGAACTGTATTTCATCCATTGTGTTAATTATTGATGGCTTTAGAAGCAAGACTTCTTTTCTCATCTTGTTTTTTTGTTTGTTTGAAGGCAGTACCACCAATTTTGCTGTAAATGGTTTTGTATGGTGGTCTTGAAAGACTTACTTATGAGCACTTTGCTATTCCCAAAAAGGAAATTTGGTTTTTTAAGTGCAATGTTGTGATATGTAATCAAAATGCAACATCGGAGTAAAATATGATTTCATCATCCATTCCCACTAGTGCAGTGTGCTGGTGAGTGTTTCTAACACTCATGCACCATTGCAGGATATCACTGGATAGTTCCTGTCTCCGTCTCCCCCTGCCCCCCCCTCCTTGCAAATAGTGTGGTAGTTACTAAATAGAATCCACAGCGGAAGTAGGTGCTTATGTTCATTTATAATGTGACATAGTTTAGTAGTAGTAGTAGTAGTATAGGGTTTTACGGTGTTTTAATGACATAGTTTAGTAGTAGTAGTAGTAGTAGTATAGGGTTTTACGGTGTTTTAATGACATAGTTTACTGTGGTGTCCTTTCTTCTGTCCTCTTTGTTTTTTAAATGCTCAGGGCAATGTGCTTTCTTTTGTGTGTAAAGACTTTGTGTTTTGCTTGGCAGTTGTCAAATACCAAAGCAAACCAGAAATAAAGTACTGTTCAGCAAGAAGTCACTTAAACACTGCACTGTAACTGTTTGGAACTGTGTTTGAACGGAAGCCAGGTTCGAAGAGCCAAGTTATTGTTGAGTTAGGCCTACTTTTTTGCTACTTCCCTTGCAGTGTTTGTCTTGCTTTTTCCCCCAGCACTAAACATAAATGTACTTTTTTATTGTTTATTATGCCCCAACAGGCTGACCAATTAAATGTCTAACTGGTAAATGATCCTTCTTTTTCTCAGATCCAGTGGCAAGAGATGATAGACAGAATGGTGAGTCCAGTATGCTGGAAGCTGTTCTAAACATTGGGGATGCAATGGCTGACCTCGTGCAAGCTACAACGCAGCAGACGCACATGTAGTGGTAAACCTTGGCGGTGATGCTGTTCTCACTGGTGGGGAAGACACTGCAGACATGGGAACTTGGAAGAAATGGTTATAATATGGACTCTTCAGGGGTAAAACCTATGTAAATTTGAATGGACAAAATATGTGTTGAGACATGGTGCTACGAAGCAACGTACTTATTGGTTATGGCTTCAGTAAATGTCTCGTTTACAGCAACTTTAAATGTTTTTCGTATAAATATAATTATGTTGTACTTACTGACTTACAAGTATTTACGCCAAAGTCACAGTTCTGCCACATTCCCGTAAGATATTAATTATATTGTGGCCTTCCATATGTCCTGTTTCCCTCTTTTGTTAAGGACTGGTATCCAAGATGTTTAATAGTGAAAAGTTCAAGACTTAAGAATTTTTTAAAATAATGCTTTTACAAAAGTACAATCTTTTTTTTAAGAAACTATTTGCTTTTGTACAATGACTAAGCATGATCTGGCAATACTTTACATGAATGTCATGTCTTTGTTTACTATGAAGTCTTGTCACCAGACGAAGGTACTTATTGTGTCATAGTTGTTGCTGTCAACATTCTTGGTTAAAGGTTGTTGAGAAACTTAATCAAAGAGACTGGTATATTTGTTATGCAATAGAGGAATGATATTGTTGCTACACAGAGATGTCGTAGTACTTAGTTCTCATCTCTTCAGCATCATCTAGAGAGATCATGCCAAATCTGGGACAACTGTAGTAAAATAAGTAAGTTTATTCAGTGTCTACGGCCACTGGCCCACATCACGTCATATAAAACAATCATTTGATAAATAAAGTTTCCTTAATGAAAGAGTACAGGTTGGGCACGTATCTCTTATCATGGGTCAAACATTGCATATTTCTGTCACTGGGCCGAGTCATGCTGGGAGGAATTAACAATTTCCTTTGATGGACAATAGAAAATAAAGTGAAATTCATCTACAGTTTCACGAGTTACACCTCTCACATAAGGGGGAATTTATTCATTTCCACCGACAGAGATTGTTATTTAATGGAAGGCTATGACGAGTTTTTAACGAGGCTATTACTTTTCTTCTCCAATACCGTGGGAGGTTGATGATATATACTCTGCTGTTTCTTGAAACAGAATTGTAAGAGAGAATGAATTATAGGCCCTACTTGCGACAGACTTCTTCCTCTATGTTCTGCACAAAATGATCAACAAGCTTACTTTTTACTTCACAACAGTAGTAAAAATGCTTAGTAAGGCAGGGGAAGATTTTTAAACAGAGCTTCTTCTTTTCTCTTCTCACAATAGTGCCGTGGTTTTTTCTTGGCAGCGGCCATTTCTGATGGGGCAGCAGGCATTTATGATGGGACAGCGGGCATTTATGATGGGGCAGCGGGCATTTCTGATGAGGCAGCGGCCATTTATGATGAGGCAGCGGCCATTTATGATGGGGCAGCAGGCATTTCTGATGGATGTTGTGGTACTTGGATGTAGAAAAGCAAACCTGGAGTCTTTGATCCTGTGGTTCAGTAGTTAGTGACAGTATGATTAGAGGAGGGTGCACTCATGCTGAGGGTGCACTCATGCTGACATAGGCTTGCCAGAAGATTGCAGTTTGAATCTCTGTTTTAGACTATGATTTATGTTGAGGGCTGAGGATGTGGAGTTTTTTTTACCTATGGTATAAACATTTCTATCAGAAACACCAACCACCCCCTGTCAGTTTGTTTACTTTTAAACATTTTGGTTTACTTTTATGTCTGTGGCATGTTATCTCACATAAACTTTTGTTTGAATTTTGTGGCTATCAGTTTTAAAGAAATCACAGCTGTGTTCTCCAGTTTAATATTGTTTTTTTAATAATGCTGTTTTAGTTATTTGTCTTTTGAATACGGTATCTCCTGCTACTGTGTGTCTGATAAAGTGTTGGGTAAGATATCGGTTGATACTTGACAACAGTGTACTTGCTCTTCGTTCCACTTGGAAAGTTTTATATTAAATCATTGTCAGTTATCAACTGATTCAGTTAGGAAAATAGTTATCGTCATACTAATACTAGATCTATATGACAGAATATTTTCAGTCTTTATTCACTATATGACAGAATATTTTCAGTCTTTGTTCACTGCTGTGCCATTTGAAAACAGGTGCCTGATGTACTTGTGTTTCCTTATACACTGAGACATTGTGTAGATGTGTTTGTAATTTTTGATATGGTATCGTAGTAGAAAAGTCTGAATCTGAACACTTTTTGTGTCATATTTTTTAAATATTATGATATAAATGGTATCCTAGTAGTTTATATTATCCATGTACTTCAGTGATTTCAGTTTTCAAATGCAATTGTTTGCGGTGGATGATAAGCAGCCTGCATGTTTTTAAAAGCAATAATGTTTCGTTTCAGTAGAGCTTGTGTACACACATCTCAGTCCTAGGGACGTCGACGAAGTTTGTGTACTTGGGTGTGGTCTCAGAACAAGTTTTAGTGATGAAATAGCCATGACATTGAAGGTAAAGAGGAAAAGTCATGTTTTGTTCTATTTTGCCATAGTGGATTGCTGTTGTCATCGAAAGGATGTCTCACTCTTAGTATTGAAGAATTTGGTGCTCTGCGGAGACTGATAAGAAATAATATTGAAAGAGCTGTGCAAAATTTCTCCCCCTCCCCCCCCGCAACCTTTTGAGCCCTGAGCCCTGACCTTCAGAGGCTACTGTGCCCTTCTGCCTGAGCTCCTGAGTGATTCATGTCTTCATTCATATCATCGTCAGAATCACATTCCATATCCTACTCAGGGTAGTCCTCGTCATTACCAGCATCTGATTCATAAAAGATCTTCAAACTCACCAATTATGTCCTGTGTAGTAGACACTGTTTTCTGTGCCTGTTTTGTCCAAAGCAGGCTGGTTTGGGGATACAGTCTCGCTCGCCGCTGTACCGGTGGCAAGACATACAGGCAATTTTACGTGCCACCGGTGTACCGATGGCTAGGGCTCAAGAAGTTAAAATCTGTTAGCGAAATTTAGTGTCTGTTCAGTGTATAATTTGGGGTTTGGGCTGGAAAATCTGTTGTGTATGGTCCAAAAGTGTTCATGCTATCCATGGTGTCTATAATCCTCTTGGTGGTTTTTATTGATTGAGATGGTAATTTCCAGAAGAGTTTCGTTTGGGGATTTGTAGTTTGTTCAGGTTGACTGTGGATGTGTGTTAGTGGGGTCCACTGTATTGCTTACTATTATATTTTAGTTTCAACTTTATATTCCTTTTGTAAGACTCATAGTATACGGTACCCCTTTCTGTCTTTTGTCTTGTGTAAAAACTTTTGCTAAAGGCTTTACTTCCATCCCAAATAGGGTGCTATATTATGTTGGAAGCTGTAAAGTTGTACATTCGTTCCTGATGAGGGAAAGTGACTGTTGACAACACAAACTGATTTTGTTAAGATTACATATCAATTTAATTTGACTGTTTTATGCGTTGGTGCCTTGTCATATTTCAGTCTTTTAAGCAATAAGTAATGCAAAAGAATCCCTTTATTCTTGGCCATATATATATATATATATATACTGGTTACATTCCCGTACGTTGTACACAATTAATGAAATGTGAGAAGTCGTAAAATATTACTGATGGTGAAAACTTCTTTGTTTGCACTTGTGGTTTGAAAAATGAATCTGGTTGGTTGATGAGACAAGGAATTGGGAATGGTGGTGATAGGGCGCTGATTTTAACCCTGTAAATTTGTCTCTGCAAATTTTTTAATTATTACTAATTGCAAAGAAGAATGGTTGCATGCTAAATGGTTGAAATTTGAATCTTGGATTAGTCGAGTGGCTGTATTTCACACTAAATTACTCAATGTACTGTTGAGATGCTCCAAATGATCTCTGTACTGCTATTGCAGACAACACGCCAAAAAATCCATGTCTTCGTTGTTTTGTTAATTCCGCTTCCAAAATACAGTGAACTTTTCCTGTAGCCTTACATTGTGCTTCTCAAGTCATAATGTGTGACATCTATGAAGACATATCTGGACTTTCCATTCTATATGCTGTAAAATGTTCTCCTCTTTATTGATTATGTTGAACAATTTTTAGAATATTTTAAAAATCTTGTTTACTTTTTAAAAATCTATTTTCATAAAAGTCTTTTCTGTTATATGAAGCAGGAGTATGTTTAAACCATTTTGTGTTCAATGGAAGGTTTTTAAAAAAATTGTAATGTGCAATTCATTGATTTTGTTTAGACTTTTATAAACAACTTTTGTGTTTTTTGGGGAGAGGTTGATGTTTGTTCCACCTTGTGTTCAGAAACGACATCCGAACATTATATAATATATATAAAATATATTTGCATAATGTATTGTGGCTATAGAATAAGGCTTTCTTACTTTTATAATCATGTAAAGCTCACATGTACCATGTCTGTTTAACCCTATCCGTACGCCCTTGGGTCATTTTGTACCCCCGGAGTTGTATTCTTCACATTTTAGAATACTTCTAGTGCGAAGATCTCTTTGAAACTTTCATCAGTATTTCTCAAAAAATCATTTTGACAGACTTCTATGCAAAGCATACGGATCGGATTAATGAGTAAATTTCCTCTTTGTAACGTGGTGGCACAGAGTTCCCCCACGTCGTATGGATACGATAGTAAAACACGACGTACAGATAGGGTTAAAGAGTATTGAACTTTTGATATGTCCTGGTACTTAATAGAGCCAAAGCACTTTACAAAGCACTTTAATGGTTTGATACAAAGTGTCTTCCGTCACGGACAGAGGGAGAAAATGTTCTGGTATCTCCAGAGGCTCTTCCGTGCAGCTGCCTTCTTTACAATTGCAGAGTTCTGGCTCACAAATTTGTGTGATGAGCATTACAGATATTGAAGCGCTATGATAAGACATATCTTGATTTGCATTCATTTTATTTTTTTTAGCGCTTTTTATGTTTAACTGAACTCATTTGTGTATCCATACCCTTTTTTCACTTTATTGTGAGGTGGGTTTTTTTTTTAAGTTTATACGTTTTTAGGTTGCCAAATCTTTTGAAAACCTGATGGTGCTTGGCATGGATGAGGGACAAATAGTTTGCTTTAAAAATAACCATTTTCCATTTGGTTGCCACCTGATTTTAATGTGTTTATTTTTAGATGTTTTACCGAAGAAAAATGTTCTTCCTTAATAAATAGAGGCACATTTACAAACCCAAGATGTTGAGTTGCAATTTATTTTTGTAATGTAATATGGTTGTTTCCGTTTGTAAGTTGTTTTTGTGTTGGAGCTTAAATGGCCAACCACTGCTTGGAATGTGTGATTGACAGTTTTCCACCAAGGGAGACTTTCGGCTCTTCTGGATTTTAGTAGATTCTTGTTCTCACTGTAAGAGACCCAACATTTGTGTTCATATTGACCATTTCATGGGGAATATTAAAATTAATGGAATTAGAATCTGTTCGACTTACAAGTGTTTATCACGTGTGTACTCAGCTTGGCAATTTTGAAGATGCAGCATACAGCCTGTGTACACTTGGCTCTATGTGGAATACAATGTACCACCAGGGAGCTTAGCTTGACCTTCCTAAATATTAACATACTGTTAAGTACTTAAATACACTCATTAATTAAAAGACTCTGAGCAATGCCAATAATGCGAGTACAAATTTCTGAACTTCGCATATTTTGTTTTTGGTTCTCTTCTCTGACACACCCCCTCCCCCCCGAGTCAGATGGACATGAATTCCCTGACTGACCATCATTTGGCCTGAGCTGTGTTAATAAAAATTGTGCGGAAAAAAGATAATTTGACGGTATGATGTAGCGCAAGAGGCTTAGTAGTGATTAGATGTTACTGATCAGTTTTCCTTTTAAAGAAAACAAAGACAGAGGCAGGTGCCTAAAATGGAAGTAACATTGTGTGCTGGGCCTATATCTCCTGATGGACAGCCTTTATGAAGTGGC